GATGGAGGGACTGCAGGTTCGGATGACATAACCTGCCGTGTTCCTGAGTGATCAGATCCGGCCACAATGGTAGAGGAATTGGTTTGGTCACCGACAGATCGAGGAGTGTGGTGTACCAATGCTATCTGGACCACGCCGGAGCGATCAAGATTAAGCGGGCCTTGTCTCTGCGTAATTTGAGAAGGACCTTGTGGACCAACGGAAATGGAGGAAAGGCATAGAGCAGGTGGTCTTTCCACGGTATCAGGAAGGCGTCCGACAGGGAGCCCGGGGAGCGACCCTGGAGAGAGCAGAACACCTGGCACTTCCGATTCTCACGAAAGGCGAAAAGGTTTATGTGGGGAAATCCCCACTTCCGGAAAACAGAATGGATAACGTCCAGACGTAGCGACCATTTGTGAGTCAGGAAGGACCTGCTGAGGCAATCTGCCAAGGTGTTCTGGACTCCTGGGAGAAACGACGCCACCAGGTCGATTGAATGGGCTATGCAAAATTCCCAGAGGTGTATGGCTTCCTGACAGAGGAGGGACGACCGCGCTCCACCTTGCTTGTTGATGTAAAACATGGCTGTTGTGTTGTCTGTGAAGATTGTGACACAACGGCCCTGAAGGTGTTCGCGGAATACCTGACACGCCAGGCGTACTGCTCTCAGTTCCCTTACTTTGATGTGCAGGGTTATTTCTTGTGCGGACCAAAGACCTTGTGTGCGAAGGTCCGCAAGGTGAGCGCCCGAGCCCAGAGATGACGCATCATGGTCAGGACTAGAGAGGGCTGTGGGGCATGGAATGGCATCCCCCCACAAACAAAGCTGGGGTTTAGCCACCAACCCAGAGAGGATAAGACCTCCGTCGGTACCGTGAGTACTGTGTCCAAACTGTCTCGGCCTGGATGGTACCCTGACAAGAGCCAGGTCTGAAGTGGACGGAGGCGTAGTCTGGCATGTCTGGTCACGAAGGTGCACGAGGCCATGTGGCCCAGAAGAACAAGGCACGTGCGTGCTGTCGACGTTGGGAAGTTTTGGAGGCCATGAATAATGGTCATCATGGACTGGAAGTGGGCCTGTGGTAGGCACGCCCTGGCGAGATTCGAGTCCAGGATCGCCCCAATGAAGTCTATTCTTTGGGTTGGCTCCAAAGTGGACTTTTCGATGTTGAGCAGCAGGCCCAGTTGCCTGAACAAGCTCAAGATGAACCGAACATGAGACCGCACCTGTAGCTCGGAACGACCCCGAATGAGCCAGTCGTCGAGGTACGGGAACACTTGGATCCGATGTCGGCGGAGCGAGGCCGCTACAACAGCCATACACTTTGTGAAGACCCTTGGTGCTGTGGACAGGCCGAAGGGAAAGACGGTAAATAGGAAATGCTGCTGGTTGACCACAAAGTGAAGGAATCGCCTGTGCAGCGGGTAAATTGCTATGTGGAAGTACGCGTCCTTCATGTCGAGGGCGGCGTACCAGTCTCCAGGATCCAGGGAAGGGATAATGGTCCCCAGGGAAACCATGCGGAACTTCAACTTTACCATGAATTTGTTGAGTCCGCGCAGGTCCAGGATGGGCCGTAGTCCCCCCCTTTGCCTTGCAGATTAGAAAGTAATGGGAGTAAAAACCCCTGCCCCTCAAATCCTTTGGGATCTCTTCCACCGCTCCAATAGACAGGAGCGCCTGTACCTCCTGTAAGAGGAGTTGCTCATGAGAGTGGTCCCTGAAGAGGGACGGGGAGGGAGGGGTGGAAGGGAGGGGTGAAACAAACTGAAGATGGCATCCAGTTTCCACCATGCGTAGGACCCAGCGATCTGACGTTATGCAGGACCACGCAGGGAGGAAATAGGAGAGGCAGTTGAAGAAAGGCGGGAAAGGATCCTGCAAGGAGACTGGTGCTCCGTCCTTGGGCGCACCTTCAAAAGTTTTGCTTGGGCCCCGCCGATGGTTTTGGGGGGCCCTGATTCTTGCCTGATTGAGGACCAGAATGTCTCCTCCTATTACCACGACCATGCCTTCTAGCGAAGTCTTGCCGTGGTCGAGGGTTAGGGTAGGTGCGCTGCGGTTGGGGCTGGAAGGGCCTACGTTGCGTCACTGGGGTATGCATGCGCATGATGGCCCGGTTGTCCTTCAGACTCTAAAGTCTGGGATCAGTTTTGTCTGAGAATAGCCCCTGGCCATCAAAGGGCAGGTCTTGAATAGTCTGCTGCAGCTCCGGTGGAAGACCGGACACTTGTAGCCATGAAATGCGGCGCATAGCCATGCGAGTCCTAGCCGCCGAGTCCACCGCGTCCAAAGACGCCTGCAGGGATGTCCTCGCCACTTTCTTGCCCTCTTCTAGCAAGGCCCCAAACTCCTCCCTGGACTCCTGGGGAACCAACTCCTTGAACTTCCCCATCGAGTTCCAGGTGTTATAATTATAATGGTTCAGGAGGGCCTGCTGGTTAGCTACCCTGAGCTGTAGTCCACCCATTGAATAAATCTTGCGCCCGAATAAATCCAGGCACCTAGTGTCCTTGGACTTAGGGGCAGGCGCTTGCTGGCCATGTCTCTCCCTCTCGTTCACAGACTGTACAATGAGGGAACAAGGTTGGGGGTGAACATACAAATATTCATAGTCCTTAGAGGGCACCATGTATTTCCTCTCCACCCCTTTGGCCATGGGAGGAATAGATGCTGGGGACTGCCAGATCGTATTGGCATTAGCCTGGATGGTCCGAATGAAAGGTAAGGCTACACGTGTGGGAGCATCGGCCGATAAAATGTCCACCACCGGATCCTCAACTTTCATCACCTCCTCCACCTGGAGGTTCATGTTCTGTGTCACCCTACGTAGCAATTCCTGGTGTGCACAAAGATCTATAGGCAGTGGGCCAGAGGAGGACATGCCTGCCATGGCCTCGTCAGGCGAGGATGAGGAGGACACCCCCGGGACTAGCGGATCCTGGGGAAGGTCTGGTTGAGGAGGGTCCCGGTTGCCCTAGGTCCACCATGCTAGGGGCATGGGCCTGATCTGATGGCAGGGCAGTCGCCTCCGAGGCTATCGGGGGAGGGCGGCTCACAGTGGCCTCAGGCATCCGAGGCTCCGAATGGGCAGAGCGAGAAGCGCCTGAGGGGACACCTTGGGCTTGGTGGTATGCCCAAGGAGTCCAGAAGGACCATTGTGGGGGTCCCTGGTCAGGATCCTGTCCTTCATCTTGCCCCTGGCTAGCACCATCCGCGTCTTGGCCCTGGACGTGGTAGCCACTCCCCGCTTGGGACAACATTGAATTTGGTCGTGAAGGCCAAGGCGGTGCCGAACGCACATGCTGCGTTGCACCGTCCTGCTCTGTCGCTCCGTGCCTGGGAGCTGGAGACCGGTGTCAGGGTCTCGAGTGGGATCGCGATCGGGACCGATAGTCATAACGGTGCCGGGAGGTCGATCTAGATCTCGACGAGGACCTACGGTCCGGGCGGTGCCGGGATCGGCTGCAAGACAATCGGTGCCAGGAACGGTGCCGGGACCTGGATCGGTACCGATCATACCGGGAGGGAGACCTTCATGAAGCGGAGCGGCGCCGCAAGTATGACCAGCGCTGAGATGGGGATTGGTGCCGGGACTGAGAGCGATACCGAGACTGGGACCATCGGCGGGATCGGGACCGCAACCTGGACCGGGACCGAGATCGGTGCCGAGCTGTCTCGCTCTGCGATGGAGGTCGCATGAAGGTGGGCTTCCCTATGGATGGAACAATCCGCACCGGCGGTGCCGGAGGGTGAGACGGTCCAGGCTCAGTCAGCGCGATCAGGTCGTGAGCGGTGGAGAAGGTCTCCGGAGTGGACGGCAGGCCGAGCTCAACCACGATGTGCACCGGGGAGCTTGTGTGCACCGGACTCAACGGCACTTGTGGCACCGGAATCGATGGTGCCGGAGTTGGAGCCTTTATGGGGCAGTCCGGCACGGGCTGTTGCTCCAATGGGGGCACAGGCGGCGCCTGCAACTGCACAGGAGCAGCAGGTGGTTTGTGCTGCTTCTTGGGCCGCGGAGACAGTGAGCGGTGTCGCGTCTGTACCGGTGCCGGAGATGTCCAGTGGCGAGAGTCTTTGCTGGTGCCGGGTTGTTCCGGTGCCGGAGGCACGCTTCGGACCGACGGCGCCTGGTCTGCTAAGTGCCGCTTCCATTAGGAGCTGTTTTAAATGAAAGTCCCGTTCCTTTTTTGTCCGAGGCTTGAAAGCCTTACAAATGCAGCACTTATCTGGTTGATGGGATTCCCCCAGGCACTTCAAGCAGGAGCGTGGGGGTCTCCCGTAGGCATTGGCTTGAGACAGACCGAGCAAGGCTTGAAACCCGGAGACCTAGGCATGGGCTCTGGTACCGGGGAGGAGGGAAGGGGATAAACCCCGGTTCCTCCAAGTACTATCTACACTATCTACAACACTTACTATTAACTACCCTATAACTGTTAAAACTACACTAAACAACTATCTACAGTACAACGAGTAAAGAGCTAGGGAGGTGGGGATCAGCTCCACAGTTCCAACGACCGTCATGGGCGGTAAGAAGGAACTGAGGGGGTGCTGGGTCGGCAGGGGCATATATCCGGTGCCATAAGGGCACCACACCAGGGGGCGCCTCAGCCGACCCATCGAGTGTTGCTAGGGTAAAAATCTTCCAACGATCGTGCACGTGGCGCGCGCACAGCTAATTGGAATCGATATGAGGAAGCACTCGAAGAAGAAATTGAAAAATTTCAACAAATTATTTGCAGTTTTTCACCCAGCTGACAGAATCAGTAAAAAATACAAAATACAAAATAATTCTCAGAATTTTCCAACTTGTTCTAGTATTTTGTATTGTTGAACAAAATCAGTAAATTTAGTCACCCTGTTGTAGAACAAGTCACATGGGTGTCAACTATGCATGCAGGGCAGCTAGCATAATAGGGCCTGACTAGGGCCTCTAGTAGAAACAAGTGAGAAAGAAGGCTAAGGAAATAAGGACCATAGCAAGTACCATATACAGAACAGGTAAGTTACTCACCTGAACATAAAGTTCCCGGAGTTCATATTGAAATTTCTTGGAATCTGTGGTAATTGTCACTGGGCCAATTTCTGGGATGAAAAGAAAAAAATGAAAATTGTGTAATGAGATTGCAGTAAAATCCCAAAGGCTATTAAATTACAATTGCCCTGAGAGTCAATAATTTCAGTCATACAATCTGGTATTTTTAAAAGGGTTTTTTTTTTTTTAAATAAAGAAAAGCAATAACATTGTATTTAATGATAAAAGAGCAGAATACTATTTCAAGGCACTGGCCTGTATTGGGCATCATCTCTCCCATCCCCAGCATGCCAGGGGAACATATGCACTACACCACACCTTTTGACAGTGAAGCATGCTCCCCTTTCTGCAGCCAGCCAGCTCCATGTAAAGCAAAATACTGCAGCTTTCAATTACTAATTTTTGACACAAAACCCTTCGCATATTAGCACTTGGAAAAGGATAGCCATTTAAATGACCATGTTAAAGGAGAGTTGAGGGGTTAATGCAACAGAGGGCTGCTGACTTACAGAGAAGGTGGGTCTGATTTTAAGTCTACCAGTCTTGAATAATTAAAAACAACTCTGATAATTTTGTACAGATATTATTCTTAGTTCCATGTGTCTTAAACACATACATATACACTGGTCTGTCTGTATGTGTCTGTGTCTCTCACATGCACGCACTGCTGTTTTCTTTTGCCCCATATTTGTATTACTCCTGGTGATAGGGAAGGGGAAAAAAATAGTGGTTGCACCAGAAATTAATACGAGTTTGTTCCAGATGTAATTGTATGTCTGAGTGTGAGAAACTGAAGTCCTTTAGCCACAGACCAGATCAGCAAGCTTCTCCCACCAATGTTACACAAATGTGCCTCAAGACCCAGGCCAGGCCTGAAGGGCATCTCCCCTCTAGAAGGGAGAACATAGTTCAGCCTCCATGCCTGTTCACTCCCTGGTCTCTCAGATCAAGGCTGCCAGCAAAAGCACAAACTATAAATCAATTCCAATTCTGGGTTTTGTGGTGTAGGCATGTGTCTACTGACAACCAACCTGAGATCATCAAATTCAACTCAACTGGCCATCAAACCACCAGGAAATAACTTTCAGTAATCACAGGGCTCTATTCATAATGGCAACATAGAGGCGGAAGTTTAAATATCACATTAACACATACACACCCCAAGCCATCCATTCCCTCCTGATGTCTTCCAAATCATCATCCAGTGTGCTTATAACAAAATGTTTCCCCAAGTGTCCACATTTATTTCCCATACTCACTATAAATTAGAGCTTTTCTAAATGGGGATATAAAATAGCTATTTCTGATTCCAAATTAACTCCATAAATGGATACTCTTAATCTGGAATAAAAGCATCCATGCATGAAGTTAATCAGGAATAGTTAATCCACTTTAAATCCACACCCTACCTTATTCCAGATTACCTTTCATGTGTGGACAAGCCTTAAATGAGTATTTAATATCCATGTAATCTTGATATTTTTTCCTTTCCAACCATCCAGACAAAGCTTCACTTGATAGCACTTTCAGCAGCAACCATGGCTGCAGTCTAGCATGATCACACACAAGGGTTTATTTTGGAGCTGTGTTTATGAATGCCTGGCGCTGTGTAGTTTTCACTTGATTTACAAAAGTCACCAGAGAGATCATAGAAAATATTTCCTAGTGTTATGAATTTATAGATGCCTTAAGGCTTTTATTATGGCTTTGATTTGAACCATTTATCCATAAATGCTGTTTGTTAAACTATTTAACACGTTATAATTTCATTTAAAAAATCTGTCCATTTTAAGAACACTGTGTTCTTTGAATAATTTTGTTTCCCCATTTCCCCTTTCCCATCCTAATCCTGCCTCACATTCACTCAGCAATTCATTTCTTCTTCTTCCTTTCAGGCTTCTTTAAAAGCATATGCCTGCAAGAAGTTGTCTCCAAACTGCTTAGGTTGAGGTCTATCCACTGACAACTATTGTTCTTAATATAGGCTGTGTGTGTGTGTATATATATATATATATATATATATATATAAAAATCTAGTTCCTAGAGTGGATGAAGAAATAAATGAGCTGGTGGTTTTATGTATGTATGTGTGTGTATCATTTATTTCTTCATCCACTCTAGGAACTAGATTTTTAAATCCCAGAGCAGTAAGTGCTTTTGAAAATATTTTCTCTGCTTATCAAAGAGAGATCTAGAAACCCACTATTGGAGACATGGAGCCAGATCCTCAGCTGATTTAAATCAGCATAGCCAATTTAAACCAAGTGAAGATCTTGCCCAGTTTTAAACAGGGTGGAACCCTGTCTTTGAAAGTGAACACCAAAAAAAGACAAATATCTGTACAATTAGTTTTCATCTTGATTTTATTGTTGGGTTTTTTTTTCAGATAAGTGGAACAGTTACACTCCAATGCCTTGCGTCTCATACCTGCTGGACATACGAACACTGACGAGGTGGCTAAATTCATAATTTTCCTCCATAAAGTCATTTCCCATTATTGCATACTGGCAATTGGAGACTGAAATTCCATAACAAGCTTGAGAGAGAAAAAAAATGGGATTCAAGCATCTTCACAGAATAATTAATTTGGATTTTACCTCAAGATGGTGAAGTTGTCAATATACAGTAGCAATTAATTTTAATCACTCTTAGAAATTCAGCACATGTATACTGCCGGTGTCAGAGTCAATGAAATTGCTGTGTTATTCAGAGGTGAAAGTAAGCCGGCATGCCCTGGTAAGGCATACCGGCAAGAGCCGGTGCACCGTACTGGAGCAGATCGGCTTCCCCTGGCAGCAATTTAAAGGGCCTGGGGCTCCCAGCAGCGGCTGTAGCCCCGGGCCCTTTAGATTGCCACCAGAGCCCTGCTGCCAGAGCCATGGGGAAGAGGCGGCGGGGCTCGGGCGGCGATTTAAAGGGCCTGGGGCGTCTGCCACAACTACCACTCCGGGCCCTTTAAATCGTCCCTGGAGCCCTGGGGTAGCGGCGGTGGGGCTCCGGCGGCTATTTAAAGGGTCCTAGGCCGTGGCAGCTTCTACCGCCCCAGCCCATAAAATAGCCGCCGGAGCCCTGCCACCGCCTCCCCAGGGCTCCGGGGATGATTTAAAGGGTCTGGGGCTCCGGTAGCCACTCCCCGAACGACAAAAGTTTTATCAACGAAAAGCGCCGGTGTAAACAGCGCTTTGTCAGTGGGAGAGCTCTCCTGCCGACAAAGCTACTGCCACTTGTTGGGGGTGGAAGTTTTTTTTTGTCGGCAGGAGAGCTCTATGCTGCCAACAAAAAGCAGCTACACGGTGCGCCTTTTAGCGACACAGCTGTAGAAGCACAGCTGTGTCGCTAAAAGGCACATAGTGTTGACATAGCCTTAGTAGCCTGACACAGTGCTTGAAGGAATTTAAGGAACATTCTTGGTAACAGTCACCATACAACACACTACAACTTTACCTTGTATATCAGCTTTCATAAACACTATACAAAATACTTTATGGAATTAAATTACGCAAGATATCACCGTGTGCACTTGGGGAAAAACTGCAGCGAGCACCCAGCCAGACACTGCAGCACACAGGGACAGAAGTAGCCAAAGCAGGGATCTCTGGTCACGTACAACTATATAATGTTCTCGGACTTTCAATGCCCTGCACTGATTGACTGTTTGCTTCAACCCTTTCCACCCCTGCCCTGTTCCCCTTATCCCCCTTTTCTTTCCATTCAGCTGATCCCCCACAAGTAAATCCACCACCTCCACCCCCCCCCAAAAGTGGAACATAACATTTTCCCCCATCAAACTGTTCACTCAGCTTGAGTGTTCTATTCCTTCCTCACTCAGTATCTTTTCTATTTAGACAATCTTGTCCCAGTGTTTCCTTGTACTCCCCCATCTTTCTCTATCCATCTGCTTGTCTTACACTTAGACTGTAAGCTTTTTGGGGCATGGATTTTTTTGTCCTGAGTGTATACAGCACCTAGCACCGAGGGGTTCTGGTCCATGACTGGGGCTCCTAGGCACTATGAGAATACAAATGATAAATTAGTAATCAAAATATCTTTTAGTGCCTGATTTTCAGAAATGTGTATGCACAAATGTTGTATTTATGTGCCTAATTTCTATAGAGTTGTAGTAATTGCACACACATAAGTGACCAACTAATACGTCTTATTACCAGTTTATCTGCATGCTCAACTGCCACAGTAGTGCATGAAATCACAGTAAACACACACACATAATTTCCATACAAGTTGCATGCCTTCACCTGAAAAGCTGCCGCTTTAGGTTTAATTCATAGCACGCTATATGTTAAAATGTCATGAAACCTACAAAAAGATCATTGGAGTACAGGAAAAGACATATTTGATTTCGTTTTCTGGTTGTTAAGTTGCTTCTGAGGTGAAGGGCAGCTACCTGAAAATTTTCTAATGTGAATCCTTACATTCAGATGCTTAAATATAGATTCAAGGGACTAACTTTAGGCACCTACATTGACAAAGCTGGGATTTCGTTCATTATGGAGGTTTCCTCCATTCTTTATTACTCTGATGCTTTTCTCCCCCCCACCTCCTCCCGCACTCCACAACTGAGGCTATGTCTACACTACAAAGTTAAGTCGACACAAGTTACGCCAATGATCATAAACCGCTATTACATTGCTTATGCATATTCACACAATGTTCCTTGTGTTGGTGGAGTGCATCCATAGTTGGCGCTCTAGCATCAATAGAGAGAGCAGTGCACTGTGGGTAGCTATCCCACTGTGCAACTCGCCACCTTCTGCAGCTAGGAGTTGTGGGGAAGCAGAGTGGATTGCAGTGCATCATGGGTGCAGGCTCAACGTCCCACGTTGCAGTATTTTCTGTCTCATCATTCCATGGGCTTCCGAATACATTTCACGCCATTTTTCAACAGCCCCCGTATACTGTGCGCCCCAGTAACCATGGATCCTGCACTGCTCTCTAGCTATGAACACAACACAGCTGATCATGCAGTATTACATAAACTTCGAATCTGAACAGGAATCCATGGTGCCGGCCCTGCTGTGTGCCATGGAAAGAA